GAGCACAGTGGGATACTGTCTGTCCCTGGGGTGCAGAGAGAGATTGAGCGGCAGTGGAGTACTGTGTGTCTGTCCCTGGAAGAGAGAAGGCGTGTGCAGAAAGCTCACTCCAGAGAAGGGTTTAGATTTGCACCAGTGGGGACCAAGGCAAGGGCGCCATCCACTGGTGACTATGTTTTAGCTCCAGGCACGCTCCCCATAAGGAAACGGAGCCTAGAAAACATGGCAGCTGAGCTAGGCTCCATTTGCTTCCATGCACTGTCCCGGAGGGTCCCGCCCCTTTCCCACCAGCCACAAACCCAGAGCAACGGCTTAATCATTAGGTGAGTAAAAACATGCGTCAAGAAAGAAATAAAATGACAGCTGGCCTTACTCCCCGCTGCCCTGTCAGCCCCCACACTGGCTTAGCTCGGAGCTGGAGAGCCAAAGGCATTAGCACAAGCCACCGACAGAGATGCAGGAAGCCCAGCTATTCTGTTAGGGACTGTGGGTGCCCCACTGTGTGGTACTGCACGTCCAGCATCCCCAACAGCATTTTCCTGGTGACACAGCCCAAGTGCAGGGCAGGTGACAGGAAAGGGCTCTCAAGAATTACCAAAGTAACCCTGTCGGAAAGAACCAGCTTAAGGCCGGAGAACGAGGGACAGGGAGGCACCTCTGTTGGGTCCAAGAAAGTTACCTTTAAGAACATACATGTGATCTACTTCTAACAGTTGTGATCCAAGCACTTGGCCGAGTGGATGCGTGTGGGGACAGAGTGGAGGCGCAGAGACAGAGAGGCTTCAGGTGAGACGCCCACAAGTCACGAGCGTCAGGAAGCGACGAGGGCTGGCTGCACACTAAGAGTTTGGTAGAATCACTAACACGAACTTTCTCTGTATCAGGTGGGCTCCCAGCATTTATTACGCTTCAATAAACCTTCATCTTGCAGGGGTGCTGACTGCCATGTCGTGGAGGACAAACAATGGAGGGCGGGAAGCACAGGAGCCGCGTCAGGCCCCACTGGCCACTGAGACACAGAGTCGGGGCCTTGACTCGGCTTTACTTTTGTCTGACATTTTTCATAATAAAAACTTAATTCTTAACTGGCTTCATTTAAATTTTTGCTTATCGTTTAAGTTTAAAACTTGGAGACGCTGTGAAAAAGCAAGGTGTCCATCCAGTCCCATCTATGTCGTTGTAAAACAAGGTATCTGTTTTCGGCTGTACAAACCAGAGGCTAGAATCGAGGCTTCCAACGCTCAAACCACACTCCCTGCCATCGAGTCGATGACCATCAGTGACCCTACAGGACAGGCAGGACTGCCCCTGGGGTGGCCCAGACGATAACTCTTTACGGAAGTAGAAAGCTTTGATACCGAGCAGCTGGTGGTTTCAAACTGCTGACCTTGCAGCGAGCAGCCCAATGTTTAACCACTATGCTAGCAGGGCTCCCTGGAACCAAAGCTGACTTAGCCCTATTTATTTCAGCAATTCATCCAGAAGATGAAAACAGCACCATCGACCTCATCCAAAGACGCAATTCTAACATAATTTTAGCTTTTTTATACATTAAACTATTTAACATATTGCTTTGATGATTGGCATATGACACGCCATTGTAACGATGTCCCACTTAAAGAGAAACGTTAAATCACACGGAACCTGAGGAAACATTCTCAAAGGTCTACTGTATTCCGGTTATCAGTGACAGTATTACACTAAGAGACCTCTGAGGGGACACGGGGTCACAGGAGAAAGGGTGCCCGCCCAGCGAGGAAGAAGAGCTAGCCGGTGTCTTTCCTGAAGAAGACAGTGAAATCCCAATCCCATCAAGGCAGTTAGGCGATCAAAGAATAATTTTACAAGCAGCAACTTCCAAATGCCAGCAGGGACGTCCACTGGGGTCCACTGTCCTCAATGCCGTTCATCAGCTCCCCCAGAAGGTTGGGAAACTCTGCTCGAGTCGTCTTCTCTGTGGCCTTAACTCCAGGGCTGCATTCTGTGTTGCTCTGCTTTCCCTCACAGAGAGCAACAGACACCAACCTAACAACTGGTGTGTGAGGGGCCGAAAGGCTGTGTCAATCCGCACTCACTCTGCAGGGACTCTGAGCTGGCCCCAGCCACCCCAGGACACCTGGCGTCATCGGGGCCCACCCAACCCGGGGTCTCTGAGCCCCATGGGCTCTCGGGGAGGGGGTGCCTCACCTGCGATGATGGTGGTCGCCTGCCGCCGCACATTGTTCTTGTCTGTGTATTCGCCGTAGTCGACTTTCCCTTCCACGAAAATCCGAGACCTGGGAAAGGCGGCACAGGGACTTCAGCCTGGGCCTCCGAGCACCCCTCACCCGAGTTCATCATCCACCCCACCCCCTCAGACCGCGCCGTCAGAAGGCACAGTCCAAAGGGCTGGGCACAGAACCAAGGCTTCAGTCCAACCTGACCGGGGCCTTACCAGGAGTTGTTGCTTAAGAAGAAAACTGCTCAAAACCTTGTTCAAAACTTTAAGCCAAATGTAAGAGGCAAACCTAGGAGCTGGAAGGCCAGGCATCCAGGAATGGTTCCCAGCAGCACTGCCCAGTGCCTGACACTGGATGCCCTACTGGCCCACAGAGTCTGGCTGGTTTGTCCACTTCGTTCTACAGTGAGGGCTCACAGCCCAATCCTCAAGGGACTTAGGTTATGAAAATCCAAAACCAAGGCTTGTAGCCTAGTGGGTCAGCAGTCAGTCAAGTCCTGACCTGTCTGCACAGTCTGGGGAGCCACAGCTATAGCCTTGGGGGTGGGGGGGGGTGTGTGACATGTATTCTGAGCCACCACACCCACTGAAACACAGCCAGGAAGTCAAACACAACAGAGAGGATCAGTGGCCAAGGAGACAGACACAGACACATGTGCCCATGCATGTCAGCAGGTGGAAGGGCACGGCACCGCCTTCTCCTGGAAACACTCTCTCTCTCTCTCTCTCTCT